ATCTTTAGTACTTAAGAATAGAACCCAAGTATATCTAGAATAATCATCTACCAAAACAAATGCATACTGTTTTCCACCCAAGCTAGTAGTTCTAGATGGCCCAAAAAGATCTAATAGATCAATTGTAATACTCTACTAGTGGATACGTCATTAATAGATTTAAAAGAAATTTGCTTTTGTTTTCCTTTAGCACAAGCATCATAGATTTTATCATTATCGAATTTTAGTTTAGGCAACCCTCGAACTAAATCTCCTTGAATAAGCCGTTGCAAAACACTCATACTAGCATGTCCTAGTCTCCTATGCCATAACCAACTATCATGCTCATCCTTAGCAACTAGGCATAAATTAGTCATATCAATAAAATCTAAATGCACCATGTATATGTCCCTATTTTATGACCAACAAGCATAATCAAAATAGATGCAATGTCAATCAATTTTGCAATCATTTAAAATAAGACATTGTATCTTTTATCAAACTCATTTTTCAAAAGATTATGCTTTTAACCCATTCACATATAAAACATTATGCAATGATGATTATAGAGATTAAGTGCATATGCATAAAGTTTTAAAGATGTTATGCATTAAAAGTTGATATTATTGAAAATTTGAAATCTATGCATAAACATTAAGAAGTTTAAGGTCAAAAATTTGTAAAACCAAAGTTCTTGAAAAATTGATATCAATTGTTAAATAGATATCAATTACATTTTAAAAACAATTTTGACCAAAAATTAATATGATGAACTAGAGTTTATAAAACATTACCAAAAATTACTATGTTCATCATACAATATTTTTCAACATACATGAGATAAAACATAATCATTTAGAATTATTCAACATTTAAAAACTCATGCATGCATAAACTAAATGAACAACCAAATAAAATAAAAACATTAAGTTTAGAGGTTACTCATTCCTTTTTCATGTGTGGCTAGAGCATCTTGAATATCATCATCTTCATCACCATTGCTCTCACACACCTACAAGAGACATTTAAGTAGATTTTGGTATCCAAATTGCTTTGGATCCTTGAACATTAGTTTCAATGCCTCTTGTTCCTTTTGGAACCCATAATTGTCTAATTTTAAATCGTTTTCCTTTCTTTAAAGGACAAGTATGTTCCTTATGACCATGATAATGACAATGTGAACATATTGTCATTATTGAACTAGATGAATTATTTAAAATGATCTCTTTTTCTTTTGTTAAACATTCAAGCTTAACTTTCAAATCGAAATTTTCTTTTTCAATACTTTCAAATTTCATTTTTGAAAGCTCTAAATCCTTCTTCAAGATTTCATTTTGATTTTCAAAATCCATTTTCGTTTCTAGAAGAAGTTTGTTTAATTTGAAAATTTATTTTTCAAAGTTTTCAGATTTTATTTTTGAAACCTCTAACTCCTTTCTCAACATTTCATTTTCATTTTCCAAGTCTGTTTTAGCTTTCAAAAGAAGATTATTTTTAGAAATCAATTTATTGTATTTAGAGTTTATGGTCTCAAACTCCGAAAATAATTCATCATAAGAATCTTGTAACTAATTAAAAGATTTTGATTTTAATCTATTTGAGTTAGAAGATACCTTTGGCTCTGTGAGAGCTAATAGAGACATCACCTTTATTGATTATTCTTCTTCCTTCTCTCTATAGATCTCCTCAAGCTTATCCCACATCTCCTTGGCATTTGAATAAGAAGAAACTCATTTATATACATTAGGATCAATTACACAACACAACATGTGCATAACCTTTGTATTTTGTTGAGCTTTCTTCCGTTCTTGATCACTCCACTTCTTTGCCTTCTTCGTAGGAGAGAAATATCCTTTCTCGATTATCATCCAAGCTTTCATATCATGTGCTTGGATAAATATCATCATGAACCTCTTCCAACGACGATAATTTGTTCCATTGAAGTAAGGAGGTACGTCAATTGGTCTGGATTCTTTCATAGAGAATGAACCGGAAGTGGACACCATCTTTATCGATTTAACTCTTCCCGAATCAACTCAAGAGGTGGTTAAACCTTCGAATGAGTGAGGCTATGATACCAATTATTAAGTTATTCGATCGACGGAATCGGCCAAGAGGGGGTGAATTGGCAATTAAAAATTTGGTGGAAGCTTTTACAGAAAATTAAAAGTAATTGCACAGCGATTTAAAGTGGTTCGACTTTCTCAAACAAAGTCTACGTCCACTACCTTAGCTATCCACAGTAAGGATTTTTCAACAAATTTACTAATTTGTTCTTTCTTTTGAGGCCAAAGAGATGACCTTACAACTCCCCTCAAGAATATACCCCAATTCTTGAGAACACTCTTTCTCAAAGAGAAGATTACAAATTTGCAAACTTAATGAAAAACCTCACAAGACAAATGTGTTTGTCCAATTCTAGAACAAAGAAAAGAACACTAAAAAATGAATACAATTGAGTACAAGTAGTGTTCTTGAAAGCAAAATGAATATTGAATGAAAAATAAGCTTGAATTGCTCAAACAATGAGTTTGATGCTTTCTCTTTGATTCTCTCTTGATTCTAGTTGCTTGTTGTTTCTTGTTATTGATCAATGGCTTCTAAACTTGTTTAAATACTCCTTCAAATGATTCTGAACGTTAGAGATGATTAGTGGAGTCAATAGAGTCGTTTAAGTGTGAAAACAATTAATTAAAGCAGTTGGGAGCATCAGTGCATCGATGCATAACAAGGTGCATCGGTGTATCAAGTGTAAAATTCAAATATTTTGACCGTTGGAACACTTAGTGCATCGGTGCACCAAGTGTGCATCGATGCATAAAATGAATTCGATGTTTTCATAAAACCCTGAGTGCATCGATGCATGGAGAGTGCATCGATGCATAAAATGCATTCGATGTTTAATTTATTCATTGGTGCATCGATGTATAGATTGGTGCATCGGTGCATGCCTTTGAAAAATTGATTTTAGGCTTGATTTTGGTTCAAAATACTTTGTGAAAATTGTTTCAAAAATAGTTTAAGTATAAAACACAATTTTACACATTTAGTAAGGTTTGAAATGGATCTTGAAAGATTTGGTGTAAAAATTTGATATTCGAGTAATTAAATCGAATATGCTTAGAAAATCATTTGTAAAATCTTAAAATTCATTTATACTTTTATATCGAAACATCAAAATGTTTTCAACACAATTAATCCAAGTTCAACAACAGTGGTTATCAAGGATGCATAGTTTATCACTTAAACACTTTCAAATCACATTTGCAAATATAATTCAAAATTGGTTGTTATAATCAACCCACGTAAATGGACAATGAGTTTCTCACTCGTCCTTGGATAGTGAAGAAGATTCGCTCATCCTGCTTACAAATTCTGATATATACACTTTCAAAATATGCTTTAGAAAATCACTATGCATCACTTGTAACACATTATCAAAGCGCATTCATAATTCATGAATCATAGTAAAATACAACATTCTCATGCATCACATATGGATCATTTACACTAGAGTTCAAGCTAAGAGATCACTCTTAACAACACTCTCACATAACCTTGACAATGTTAATCCCACAAGAATGAAAGTCACTCATCTTTTCTATCCACCAACAATATTGCATCCAAACACTTAGAAATTCTCAACCAAATCACAATGCACCAATTTTCCTCAATAACCAACACAATAAGAACCTTGGAAAAAAATAACACATCAATAACTAATCTAAAACAGAGCAACCAAACCAAAAACTACTGAAATCCTTACTGAATCAACCTCTAAAGCTTCTAAAACGAACATCCCTGCTCCTTCTCGATTAGAACTGATCAAGAACAACTAAACTCAGTAAATAAACATATTAAACAACTCCTAAAACAGCATCACTCAAGCAAATTCTCGGATTACCGAAAAAGACCGAAATCAAACTTGTTTTAAAGAAATCATCATCCAAATCATTTGCAATTGAAAAACTGATTTAATATGATTATAATCTCACAATTAACACTCAAAATAACTCTTGAAAACCTTGATATAAGATCTTAAAAAAATAGGAGTAAAAAATACCCTGAAAATCACATTTAATTTAGAAACTCGTCCTTAAAACCAATGATCATCCAAGATCATCTTCGTAATTGGATCATTAATCATTGAAGCACAAAAGGAACCAAGGGACAAAGATTACCTTGCTGGAAATGAAATGAAGGAATGAAGAACTGAAGCTGAAGATCAACAATGGAGACTCCAACGAAGATAATGATGGGCAGCAATGGAGAAGGAAAGATGAGAAACTATTGATGAAGAGAAAATCAAGAGAAATGGATAGAAATCAACAAGCAAAATGAATGAGGAAGATGAAAGGAAGTTTGACTATGGAGGTTTTCGCTTTAGAGAATTTAGAGAGAAATAGGAGAGTGTTTAGATGAGAGAAACGAATTAAAATAAAATGAATGATATATTAGCAAATAAGAAGAAAATGAATCTAGTTAAAAATCAAGGAAAGATGAAGAGAAAATTCACGGTTGAAAATGGAGGGAATATGAACCAAATAGCCACTTGGTAAAATTAGTTTCATAGATCTTGACATTTGATATTTTTACATTTTAGTCACCAAAATACACATTTTCAAATTATTCAATTTAGTCACTTATAAAATTATTTAATTCAATTTAACAAAAATCATTTAACACTATTATAATAATATTTACAATTTAAAAATTCAGAAATAATATTTTTAACAATAATTCTAAAAAATATCCGACTATCAACCCGAATTACTAACTCGAATTTTGGAATGTTACAATAATCATATTTTCTGGAAATACATTGTCATTAATGCTCTCAATATTTGTTTAAAACTAGGAGATGTGGTCGGTGATTCAGTGCAGGTTTCACTAACAACCATTCAACAAGACAAAGACAACCTCATCCCAAAAAACCACCTACTCTACACGAGACAAAAGGGGTAGAAGTGTCATTATACTTAGAGAAAATGCTGACAAGGCAACCTAGTTTACCACTTATCTTCAAAGTGAGGGCCGTTCTTGCCTTGGCCAAACTTTCACTTATCTGACTGTGAAACAATTCGCAACGTGGAGAAACAAGCATGGAATCGGGAGCCTTCATGGAGAAATTCATTCTCCAACAAAATTCTTCCTCTCAGCAACTTCCCCTTAGTGGACTTACTTTTGCTGTTAAAGAAATGTAAGCCATCATCTTTTATAATTTTTTTTTCTTTTATGATTGCTGGAAAAGAAATGACAACAATGGTTACTGGATAATTCAAAGCATGCTTCTTGTTTAGATGTTCTTTAATGCTCATATGCCCATTTTCCGTTCCTTTTTATGCTCTGTGGGTAACTTTACAACTTACTAAAACTTGGGAATAGGTTTGATGTGGATGGATATGTCACTGGCTTTGGAAACCCTGACTGGAAAAGGACTCAATCTGCCGCCGTATCGACGGCACTGGCTGTTGTCGATGTCTTGAAGGGCGGTGCCACTTGTGTTGGCAGGACTGTCATGGATGAAATGGCATACAGGTTAGCATTAGAATATCTTTACATGTCTTCACCATATGTGAGTAATTGTTTCCCCTTTTCAGTATAAATGGGGAAAATATACATTATGGCACTCCCACAAATCCATGTGCACCAGATAGAGTACCTGGAGGATCTTCCAGTGGCTCTGCCGTTGCGGTAGGCGCAGGGTTCGTCGACTTCTCCCTAGGTGTGTGTTCTTCTTAAACAGGGACTACTTTTCTTTATTTTCTCCAGAGCTGTGTTTTTTAAGCGGTTTTGGTCTCTAACATAGGAACTGACACTGGAGGAAGTGTGAGAGTACCGGCATCTTATTGTGGAATTCTCGGGTTTAGGCCTTCACATGATGCCATTAGTACTTCCGGTGTTATTCCGATGTCCCAGAGTTTCGATACTGTCGGTAAGTATCTGATCAGAGCGTCTTCATAGCTTGTCTTTCTCAGAAATGTCTGAGAGAGATTTCAATTCTGATAAACCATACAACTACCCCTCACATGAGTTCTCATGTAGGATGGTTTGCTAGAGATCCTGCGGTTCTAAATCAAGTCGGACGTGTGCTGCTGCATTTACCTAATGTGTACCCTGCTGCACCTAGTCAGATTATTGTTCCCGAAGATTGCTTCAGCTTGTCGAGCATTCCGAGTGATCAAACAACACAAGTTCTCATAAGATCGGTGGAGAAGCATTTTGGAGGTACTAACCAAACTATTGGCATCTATCATAGGTGAACTTCACCCTGCAAACATTCATTTTACCGATGCAGGTCAAATTCTAAAGCATATAAATCTCGGAGACTATGTGAAGGAAAAAGTACCAAGTTTGCAGCATTTCATGCCTAAGGAGAATGAAGATCAAGCATATAATATACCGTCGTTGGCTGCCCTTTCAAGCTCGATGAGACTGCTTCAAAGGTGCAGAACATCCCAGAACTTTTAACTGATTCGTTCAACCCAAATGCTAATCCTCGTATCGTTCTGGGATCATACTAGATGAATAGCATTGCCTGTATCGATTCCTGAACTTAATTTCTATTTCATAGGTATGAATTCAAGAACAACCATGCTGAATGGATCACAACAGTGAATCCTAAATTTGGTCCTGGAATATCTGAGCGTATATGGGACGCCATTAGAGCACCGGACAAAAACATCGATGTCTGCCACTCCGTGCAAACTGAATTACGTGCTGCTCTTACAGATCTTCTTAAGGTACCTGCAACAACTTGCCAAAAAAGCAACAATGATTGTTTTTCATACAATTCTGTATAAAAACTGCTCATATTAGGGCCTTATATTAGATGGTTGAATCCATTTCAGGATGAAGGCATCCTTGTTCTGCCTACAGTTCCAGGTGAACCACCGAAGCTACAATCAGATCCGGCCTCACTCGAAGTGTTTCGTGCCAGAGCCTTCAGCTTGCTATCCGTCGCCGGAGTAGCCGGATTCTGTCAGGTCCTCTTTCCATCTCACTCTCCCCTCTCAATCACATACACTCACAAACCAGAAAACAATAAAAACAGCAGAAAAATATAGAAAATGATCATTGTTTTTTAACAGGTGAGTATTCCATTGAGGATGTGTAATAATTTGCCTATATCAATCTCCTTGGTGGCGAAACATGGTTCAGATGGTTTTCTGCTGAATGTAGTCGAGACTTTATATGAAACCATTCAACAAGAGGCTGGAGTTGCTCAGAGAATTACTAACTGAACTTTCATTGCCTCTTCCTTCTGTATAATTTGTGCCAATCCGTTTGATTTTGTATGACATAAAGTACGTTCAGGTCAATACTAAGGTCTAAATTAGAACTTAATTACCCACCAAGTCTAATGTTCCGCCAAAATTCAGGGGATTTGAACAAATATATTAAAACAAATGCTACATTATATTATATTTTATTTTTATAAAGGGTAAAATACACAAATAATACTTAATTGTAGAAGTTACTTTATTGAATCATTGACTATTAAAAATTACAAAATGATCATTCACCTATTTATACATTTCAAACTCATCCTTTTCCGTCAGCTAGAAGATAACCTACTGATTGGAATACGATGAAATTATATTTTAATGTTGTCTATTAATATCGTTGTTACTTTCAAATATTGGTTTGATGATATACTATTTTAGACACTAACTCGACAACATAATATAAATAGAAAGTCAATCCACAAAATACAACTTAAACAATTCAAAGATTAGATTTTATCATATAAAATCTAATATATATACTAAAATATTAAAATATATATATTTATATAATATATATACTAAAATATTAAATTTGACCCCTCAAGAGACGTGTATAATAAATTATTAAATTTGATTATCCTAGAGATCTATTAATTGGTTGAGTATTCAATATACTCATATTGTCTCTCTTCTTATGTTGGTTTAAATCTCGATATTTGTATTATAAATATAATACCTCTATATTTAATAAAAAAAATTGGTTGCCTCCAAAAATTATGTATATTAGTTTAGTATTTGGAAACTAATTGAATATTATTGGAATTGTTAGTTGCGCATGCTTAATAAACTGTTAAGGTGTCAGAGGTGGTTAGCTGAGCAGTTAAGGTTAGCTATACGATTAGACTAGCTTTGTAAAACTTTTATAAAAGCACGGTACTTGTATTCATAAAAGTCAAGAAATGTAATCAATACTTTCTCATTCCTCTTTTATATTTTCTCTAATATTCCAAGATGGTATCTTTTGCTAAAGTTTCTGGGGGAAGTCTTCTTTTCTTTCGTTGCGTAGAGTTTCTCCTTTGCGTAAAGTTGCTCGTTCTTTGTTAAGGGGTAGTGATTCTTCTCCTTTGATGGAATTCTCTGCAAGAAATGCCAAAGCACTCTCTAATAAAAAGGTGAACGTGATTCTTGACGAGATAAACTTCATTTTTTTTGGAAGCAACAAGTTCTGCTCACGGTACATAGTCATCGTCTTGAGAGATTGTTGAAAGATACGATGAGGTCTCCGCCTGAAACTGTGGTTAATGACGATGGTGAAATCATATCGAATGATTTGTATAAGGATTTTGTGGCTCAAGATAATGCTCTTGCATCATGGTTAGTTTTCACAATCAACCCTCAACTCTTGTCGCAGTTTGTGGGTGCAGAAACAACGCCAACTATTTGGAGTACGGTGCTTCAATTCTTTGGAAATCGTTCCACGACGGTTATTATCAGATTGTACTATAAGCTGCAGTCCTCAAGAAAGGTAATGATTCGATGAGGGTGTATCTAACTCGTGTTAAAGAGTCTTGTGATGCCATGTGTGGCAGCATGGTTTCACAGGCTGAGGATGTTGATAGTATATTGAAGGGTCTTCCTCGTGAGTATCAGCCATTTGTGGCGGTTATAACTATCACACGAGAATCTCTTACTCTTGAAGCAGTATATACCATGCTAATGGATGTAGAAATACAATTAGCTGGTTTTGGTGATCAACTTGATTTGTTGTTGATGAGTACAAATCTTGCCTAGGTACAGTTTCGGGCAAATCTATTAGTTATCTCGGTTGTCGACTAATTCTGGTGGTCGGTCTGGTGGAAGAGGCTGAGTTCGTGTTCGGTTGTAGTGTCAACTTTACGGTAAAAATGGGTATCTTTTAGATAGTTGTTGGCATCAATTTGATCAAGATTTTCCTGGTGTTCCAGGTGGTAGTAAATCGTATTCTAAAGATCAATCAGGGAATGCTTATTATTCCATGTGTGAAATCAGAAGTGTTGAATGTGAATTCTGCCATGCTCAGAGTAGTAGGTCCCAGGTAAACTCACATCCTCAAGCGCTTGTTCCAACAACAGCTCGTGAACAGTGGGTGGTAGATTTTGGTACCACACACCATGTTACACCAGATGGAGCAAATCTTGGTCATAAGGTTGACTACAATAGCCCAGGTAAGCTTGTTGTTGGCGATGGGGTTGCTTTAGATATTAAGTTAGTTGATAATGCCACTTTGTGCTCATCCTCTCGAGCTTTATTATTAAATGATTTATTATATGTGCGAAGAATAACCAAGAATCTTCTATATGTTTCAAAGCATGCTAGGGATAACAATGCTATCTTTGAGTTTCATGCGCATGAATGTTGTGTTCTTCTTCATGGGAGAGAGAATGGTGGCTTGTACTTATTTACTGTTGACCCTCAAATGAAAGCTCTTACGATAGTAGAAGCTAATTCCATGACTGCATCTCTTAGCACCTATAAGCTTTGGCATCGAATGTTGGGGCACCCCTCACATGATAGTTTGGTTAAAATTTGTAAAGAAATGAATGTAAATGTTTCAAATACTGTGAATAAAACGTGTGTTTCTTGCCACATGGGAAAAAACCACAAATTTCATTTTTTATGAGTCAAGTATTATGTATGACACTCCTTTTCGGTTTGTGTTTACATATTTATGGGGACATGCTCCGATTGTTTCGAATGGTTTTAAATATTATGTTACCTTTGTTGATGCTTGCACCCCCAAATGTAACCCCCTAGACTTGACCTGTACGCTAGACCCAAACCTAAGCGGTCACATATCCCATTCAGAGATTTTTTTTTCATTCTCTTCTATTTAAAATAACTTATAAAATATTAAAGGTAATACGAAACAAAATATTGATAATACAGATATATCCAAAACGATAGCAAAATATGTCACCAAATACAACTGGAAAACATATAGAGACATACGTTTGTACAAAATAAAAGTAGTTTATTTTCCTCTGATGCCAAATCTGCTAGCTTATAGTCTGTCGATATCTGAAAAAGGGTAAAAACTACATAATGAGCTAAAAAGCCTAGTGTGCTCTATACAGTGTATATAAAAACATACTGATAAAAATATTCTAGTAAAATCAGTTTATGCAAACATGTCGTTAAAAATATGAACACTACCCCCATCCCATCACAACAGAATGTGTAGGTTCCCCAGAACCATACAACCCCGGCACAACAGTAAGGCCCTGAGCACACAGCCGAGGAGCTTGCATATATTCTTCCTCCAACAATACCCCCAATGACAATAATCAACATGAATGCATCCGAGTGAAAACAATGATTAATCCTTTAAAAATGAAAATGTTTCATGCTTAAAATTCATATACAGAATTACGGAAAACAAAAGTCAAATCAGTAACGTACGGTAAATCATATATCAGATAAGCCATATTCAGAAATCAGGTATAAAAATATACCGTAACTAGAGATCATATCATAAGTGTTCCATAAATCATATATCAAATAAACGGTATTCAGATAGATATTTTAAAACAGTAAGGTAACACCTTCAGGAAACACACCTGTAACAGTTTGAGAAATCATATAGTGAAGCCTACTAATGGGTCTATCGATCACGCTCTGCTGCAGCGCTAGATCCTACGAATTGGAAAAATCCATATTGGAATCCTAAGATAAATAATCTTACTCTTTATTTAAATAATTTACGGAACCTATTGGTAATTCTCGTAGTACGCGGTTCGGACTGATCTGACGAACGAACAACACCGGACCTAACTGATCGTCGCTCAGGTGAAACACGAGTACCTTCATAAAATATCTTATTGAATTAATTCCATAACCATATCTCAAATAAATAATAAAAAATGCTAAAATACTAAGCATTTTTGAGTTAACAAGCTCGATTTGGGGATTTCGGGTCAGAATTTGGACAAACGGACTTCAGAATCAGATTTAGGACGTCAAAAAACATAAAATATGACCTTCCGAAAATTTGAATTCTTGGTCAAAGTCAAAGTCAACAGTTTTGACTAATAATTTGGAGACTTTCGGGTTCGAATTTGGTGAAACGAACCCCAAAATCGGATTCGGGATATCAAAAAATGTCTGGATAGGTATATTCGAAAAAGGTCAACAGCCGATTAATGGTCGATCAATGTCGGTCAAAGTTCTAGTCAAAGGAGGTCATGATCAAACATTTTACACAATTATCACCCCTTTTAAAAATATTTACGAAACTAACAACCTTTCAAAATATTTACAAAAATAACACCATTTTAAAAATATTTACGAAAATAACACCATTTTAAAAATATTTACGAAAATAACACACTTTTAAAAATATTTACAAAAATAACACCCTTTTAAAAATATTTACGAAAATAACACCCTTTTAAAAATATTTACGAAAATAACACCCTTTTAAAAATATTTACAAAACTAACACTCTTTTAAAAATAATTACAAAACTAACACCCGGTCAACGGTCAACGGGTCGGGTCAGGTCGGATCGGTCAAATCGGTTTGAACCGGTCAAACCGGTTTCAAGCTGGGCCGAAACTTCCCCACGCGCAGTGGCGATTTTGAAGCACTTACAAAGCTTGGTTCAAAATTTTGAACTGTGGAGAGCTCAATTTCAAGAGGTCGGAAATTTTGACCGCTTTACCTCTTCACGCGCCACCGTCGCCGGAGACAAGGAGGACACCGATGGACTCGAAATGGCACAAGAAACACGATGGTGCGGGAGGTGTCGAAAACGGATCAACGGTCGGAGATGAATTTAAGATTTTCTCGGCGGTGGTGCTAAAAAAACGTCGAGACTTTGACTCAAAATTCACGGCGTTTGGCAGCGTTTCGCTATAATTGGTTTACTGTGTTTTGTTCACAGGTCGAAGATGAACACGATGGTGGTTTCAATTTGACGATCTGAGGTCGGACGGCGTCGGAATCGGGTTTGAAAGTGAGAGTATATGAGGGATTTTATGAATTGGTTTCTGTGTTTTTCACGCATAAACCAATTCGTTTCCTTTAATACAAAAGCCTGCCGACACTTTTTGGGTTAATTCAGG